TGGTTAAACAGTGATCATTCACTGTAGAGACTTATACATCAATTCTTGTAGGAATTCATGCATCATAGACATATGGAACACTATCATGTATCCTACCTCATATCTAGAACCCGATGGGGGTTCAACAACATCTTTGGTCAAAAGCCCATTATATCGAAATTTGACCATCGGGATATTCTTTAAAGTCGAAGCTCCTTATAATAACCTTCTTTGTCATTACCAATGGTAAGACAATGGGTTAATCCCAAATGTATCTCCAATCACCATTATAACACATTTATCATAAATGATTATTAAAAACAAATCACAAAACAAGCATAGAAATCTATTTTAACAAATATCAAATTTTACCAAATTAATTAAATAAAAAGAGCACTCATAAATATAGATGAAAATACTGAAAAATCTCTTACCGAAACTAAATCGATGAGTCTTTTAAAAATAGAGGAAAGGGCTTCTAAAAATCCCTTGAACAAGCTTACAAAACTCGTACTTTTCTCCTTTTTTCTTGCTTTTTTCTCTCTCTAAAATTCTATCTTTCTTACTCTAAAATATCTCTCTAGAAAGTAAAAATGGAAGAAGAAATGAAGTGTGAGAGATAAGGAAGAAAAGAGCCTTTAAATAGGCATGGAGGAAGCTTGGATGTGTGACACATGACAAATATCCAAGTGGGCAGTTGAGTGGTAGGTGAAGAGTGGGTGACCGTACGACTTGCAAGGCATTGGGTGGCATGGGGAGGCATGGGGGTGGGTATTGGGCTTTTCCTCTTTTTTGGTTTTCCTTTCCTTTATTTCTTTTTTTTTTTCTCTCTTTTCCATCTCTTATTTTATTTTTATTTTATCTTTTCATATTATAAATTAAAGATAAAATTAAATTTAAATATTTTAAAATAAACAAAGTACCAAATTTAATAAAATAAAACATGGTAAAAATTTAAAATATAGAAATATTAATAATTTAATATACAAAGAAATTAATTAGGGGCAGAAATATAAAATGGCCATTAGTCCCAAATTAATAGAATTTTAACCATACGCGCTTCGGGCGTAAAAACGTGCCCCCTTCTCCCCTCCCCTCTCCCCCCACCTTTAAAAATCTGGTCCTTTAAATTTGAAAACTTCTTAAAATAATTCAAAAAACTAGTCCCACATTTTTTCTTTTTTACACACCTAAGGTATAACTGATAGGGGGTGTCATCCAAAATTCGTGTGTCCAAATTATTTCATTTACTCTATCTTTCAAGAATTAGTACAGGATTATGTGAAATAAGTTCCCTTTATACTCTCTAATTATATCAATATACGCATTGTCTTTAAAAGTTTGGGATTCTAAACTATGTTTAGTGTGGTAGTTTTCTAACCTCAAAGTATTATCTACGGACTTAATATGATATATCTATATTAGTAATTCTTAGGGATTCATATTTCTTACTGATGATTATTAGGGGTCCTTGATCAAATGGTCAAATAATAACTTAATTAAGGCTAAATATATTCTCTACTTATTTCAATCTTTCCAGGGCTAAGTACTACATCCTTTGCCTCCCAAGGTTTCGAGTGACTTAAGCAAGGCCCTAAGATATAATTCATGAGTTTGTCCTATTATTGTT